AAGGAGAACCGTCGAATAATCCGGTTCCCGAGGTCGATGCGCGTAAGGACTCTGCCTCTAGGACCTTAGTTCGAGGTGATAAAACATAGCATGTGCTTAGAAACGAGTTCATCTAGGCACCTCGGTGAGAACCCGAGATACGGCTGAGTACTATGGCGAGTGTGCCATTTTACTCTGAACAGACTGTATACTCAGAGAGAGGTCGTCCGAAGCGAAGAAACTTTCGGGCTGAAGTCGTTTCGGACGCCTGACTTTGCAATGTGGCGATCCGAAGCTTGAAGCTCTCGGAGTTCGGACGTCTGTGGTCACCACGTGGCGATCTAGAAACCTCTGGAGCTGGATTCTCGGATGCCAGCGTCCGATGATGGATACATTCTCTCGAGTTAGAATCTCCAGAAAGTTCTCAAGCAGCGCTGGCTGGTTCTCTGCAACACATCGATATCCAGATCGAGGAACGCAGTCCGGACGCTTCTCTCTGTCATCGATGCACGATTCTTCCACGTTCCGACCTTCATGATGCCGAAGATGTTCTCGATCGCATTGAAATCTGGTGAATATGGAGGGATGAAGAGGGCTTCGCAGCCCAGTTTTGCGATTGCATCACGCACTTGCTTAGTCCTATGGATCGCAGCATTGTCCATGGCGATGACACTCCCGGTAGGAATCCCTGCGGTCGATAGAAATGTTGCAAAATTCTGTGAGTTCATCGGCCCCGTCTGTGTCATGCAAGCTCGATACTCGGAGTTCGAGATTGCAGCGACGAGTGTTACGGATTTTCCACTTGGAGGACTGGAGGAGACACGGAGTGGTATTCCCTTGGGTGCATAACCAAACATGGGGGATGCATTCCGGACAGAGAATCCGGATTCATCCACGAAGACGATATGTCTATTGGCGTACGACTTTGCTTTCGTGGTGAATTCGCTTCGCAAGGATGTCAGGACCTCTTGACTTTTAGGTACGAATTGCAATCGTGCCTTCTTGCGCGTATATCCTGCTTTCTTGATAGCAGTGACTGCCAACGACTTGGAGATGCGAACTCCGAACGCACCAAAGATCCTCGAACACAGGCATCGCAATCCCAAACATGGGTCGTGCATGAGGATGCTTTTGATAGTCTTAACTATGTCCGAGCTGATCTTGGTAGAGTAAGTCCTCTTCTTGATGGCGATGCCACACCTCGCCCAACGGCTCACTGTGCTTGCACCGATCCCAAATGCAGAAGCCACTCGTCTCATGCTCATGCCCGTGGACGAGAGTAGGCGGAGGACAGCTTGTCGGATACTAAGAACGTAGGTCATCTCGTCCTAGTATACTCCGGATAAAAATAGGTGTGCCATTTTACTCTGGACAGACTGTAAATATACGGACTATTCTGAGATCCATAATCACACTAGGCTGAATGTTTGTGTGTAGATAATCTGGAGGAGGCTTCCCTTTAAAACAGTATCGTTTCGCCGCCACAATGTGCTTCGAACAATGGTCCTATCCACGCTGCATGCCTGCTTCTAGGTCCAGTTGTCGAACTCGTCGATGCTTTCGAAGATGATGAGCTCGATTTAGTCGTCACCGTCGAGCCAGAGCTGGTTCGCGAAGAGCCTCCGCTCTGCGATGTGGGTGGACTCGGACCTCTAAAGTAATCTTTGTGATTACCCCCCCTATCATGCATGAATTTATACTCTTCGAGTCGGAAGCCGTGCTCTTGCAACGGCTTTAAGTCTTGGTAATCCCTGTTCTCTAATCGACGGTATGCGGGCACATCGCCTACTGGCACTTTTGCAAGTCGCCACATCAACTTTTGCAGATATTTTCGTTCTGCCTCCCGTCTGAAGGTGTCGACATAACGTGGATCGAGGACTGCTTTCCCCCTCCTTTCCCGTCTGACTCCAGTCAACCTCGATGCAACATTTCGTAAATCTCTGAGCTGTTGTTGCCTCGCTGGATCTACGCCGTGCAACATGTTGTCCCGGAGTTGAGCCGTCCTGACCGTTCGGCTCTTTTGGTCATCTCGCAACAAGCATGATTCTACGTAGAATTCGTCGTCACCCCAATCTCGCTGCAGATGCTCCTTCTTGTCTGGAACTTTTCTCTTATCCCCTCTGTCGTACACGCGACCATCGCCGTACAGCCGCTTACAAGCGAAATTTTTCGCATTCCTTCTCGTCAACCACTCCATCTGCTCCCTCGGTTCCTGCGGCATGAGCATGTTCACCGATCTTTCGTCGTGCTTGGCCGGAATTTCCTGCCCCGGATTCCCTCTGACTTTGTAGCCGGTGCCTGCCCACGGCGAATGATCTCCGCAATGTGCTCTATCGAAGCGATGACGTGGCCGATCGCTCGCGAGATCCTTGATCAAGGCACTCCTGTCACGGGCGCTCAGGGATAAGAGAGGGGGATAGTAACGACTCACCCTTCCGAAATCTTTTTGGCACGTTCTGTCGTGAGCCCTCAGCGTTCGCCTCAGGCGTAGTCTCTCGTCCGGCGAAAGGCCTCTCACGTTCCGCTTGAACGACTCTAGATCGTCGGAGTACTCTGTCTCCAAGAATTGTTTTTGCTTCATCCATCTGTCAGATGCATCGGCGAGTCTGGGATTCCTCGAACGATTGATGGGGCTGGTATCGAGTATGGGATACCAGCCGTCATCGCTTTGGAATCTCGGTGCCGTCATGAGCGCAGAATCTCTCCATTCTCGAAGAGACATGGTGTAATTTAAGCTCTGATTTTTTGGCTTGCGGAGTCTAAAGGATGTCCAGGCCCTA